CAGGAGCACCCACTATGACAACCTCCCGGGCATGACATCGCTGGAGAAGGTGAGAACCACGCACTTCGTTCACCAGCAGTAGCAGGAAGAACCATCACCGTAGCCACCAGGCTGAACCATAAGACGCCTCAACTGCATATGCCAACAGTGTGCTTTCCTATGATTGGATTATTAACCGTACTATTCGTTCAGGTGATGGGGCAGCCGCCAACTTGGGCCTGCTGAAGAACGACGACTTTGTAGGAGGGGATGGAGTCGGGGAAGCTCCTGTTCCGGTGGGAGCGGCGGTTCCACAACGAGATGGTCGTTCGTCACCTCTGAGTTGGAGGATGGCCAAGGCCAAGATTGTTTTTCACCACCGAGTTGCGGTAAGTAAGGAATGGCTAGATTTCAGAAACATAGAAATTGTTGGTTCAAATATATATTTGGATTTGCAATGATCTGATACACATTGGATCACATCAGGCAGAGGTTTTTGTAGCATACAAGTTAGATTTAGAATTTCAAGCTCAACAACAAAGAAACGAAAGTAAACCCATCAGAAATTCAGTAAAGGTTCAACGTGTTCTTTGTATGGACAAAAAATATATATGTTGTGGGGATGGGGAGGTGCAAAATGAGGATGCATATTTCTTTCTTTAACATGTAAATCTACGAGAATATATCAATCATGCTTGCATACATTTTAGCCTCCAAATGATATGACAGATTATACTGGTTCATTTGTGTTATCTGACTTGTGACGGTTCATAACTTTAATGCTTTGATTTTGCCTTATAGGGGAGGTGCAAAGCAGTAGCAGGACGAACCTTCGCCATAGCCGGCAGGCTGAGTTTGTACTTGGTATTAAAGGATTTGGAGTAGGCTACATCTGTGATGACGGGATTGGTTATGCATGATCTATTGGTAATGAAACACTTTCCTTGGCTGTACCTAATCTTGTATGTTCCATTCTTTTTTCCTTTTGAGTGGATTGCTATATGGAATACCATCTACCTCTAATGAATTTATATGTTACTTGCTACCTTTTTTAATTCGATAGATCCAATAACTATACCAATGAATAGACTTTTTTGTGACTGATATATGATTCAGTGATATAAATGCTATATATTTTGCATCTGATATGCAAGGTTACTTGAATCTCCTCTCGTATTTTTTTTGCCTTTGTAGCTTTGTATAGAAAATAGCCTACTTAGGCAATTTTGGTTTAGCATGTATGTGGTTTGCTTACTCACTATTGACCTCGGTGTCACTATGCCTGCTTCTAATACTCGTTAGCATTGAAATATATGCTATGTTACTCTTAATCAGGCTTCTTTTATACTGAACTTTATGTGATGCTGCACTTACTCAGGCTAAATCCTTTTGTTTTATCATGAGGACAACAATAGTGGTTGCTTCTCATCCGAGCTTGAGTTGTGGTGAATTCAACCGATGTTTCGACCGCATACGAGATGTCGTTCTTTTGGTTTATCAACTAATATTATCATATATGGACGTGATGCCTGTACAGAGGCGTTTTGAATCAGTGTGGTAGTAGACTACCTATCATTGTTGTAAATTATGTGTGATAACCGTTATGAGACCGTCTGCCTGTGTTAATCTACTCCATGGTTATTGTAAATTATGAACGAATTATGATGCAGTTACATTGTTGGTTTTCTAATCTACTCCCTCTGCCTGTGTTAATGTATATACTAAATTTTGGATTCCTAGCACCTTATCATTATCTGGTTGACCAAAATGTTGAGACCGGTACCCACGCGCCGAGGCGCGATCTCGATCTAGTTTGTACTATGGTGTGAGATAAACAGGTGATGCAAGAACAAATATGACACTACTTTGCCTACTGTCCATTTATAGTTTGTGTGTCATATAAGTTGTATATGCGTGCCAGTGTGCCAAATGAGTTCTGTTCCTTGCCCCGCAGGCAGCATTGTAGCTATGTGAACAGAAACTTGTGACCATCATTTTAAACCAATTTGTCATCTTATATGGTCTGGAGTAGCAGTGGAATTTGGTTGAGTTAAACTTCACGAAGCCGATACAATTATTCTGAAAACAATTAAGAAATAAGTCCATACAAATTACACCGAAAAACATTGTCTAGTGCTTATGGTTGTAATATCTACAAAGTACTTGAGTACCAAATTGCCATCAGGAGGGATGTCATGTAGTTTTAATTTCACGGCATTAGCACAAAAGTGCCAACGAATTGCTCAAAGCCCTTGCGCAATAACCCGAACATCACTTGGCAACGGAAGATTTTGTGAAAAGTAGACGAGGGCAAAAAGGCACCAGATTGTTAATTACTACAAAACAGAGAAAAAAGAACTCGGAACGGCACGATTTTCTTGCTTAATCGCATACAACCATCATCAAACGAAGGGTTGCCTCAAAAAAAAAATCATCAAACGAAGGGGAGAGAGATGAACGAGGTGCTGCCATCAGAAGGGATGGTAAATAATTTGTGATCTCATCGCGTCAGGCAAAAACTGCTCAAAGCCCTTGCGCAATAACCCAAAGCATCACCTGGCAGCAAGAAGAAGAAGAAGCATCACTTTGCAGCAAGAAGAAGCACATCCTTTCAGGGAAGCAGGCAAGAAGCAAGAAACGCACACTAGATAGGCGAAGAAAGACCAGCAAAACGAATCGGGATGAGACGCAGATCGCCATCTGCGATGGCGGCTAGGGTTTGATAGAACAGCGGGCGGCGAAGTCGCCTGTGGAAGGAGGCGCATGTCTTTATACAGGAGAGACACCCAAGCCCGACACATCTGGAAAGGCACCCACCTTAATCCGTAAACCCAGAAAGAAGACGCCTACTAGGTTCTACGACAAACCACGCAAAGGCGTATTCCGTGGAATACGTCAGCGCCTGGAGAAAGGAAAGGGAAGAGGAGTCTCCGCACGGTTGAGACTTGAGAGAGTCGAACCAAGACCAACCCTGGCCGGCTCAAAAAAGAACAAAAAAAGACCAACCGTGGCGGAAAATGGCGTGCGGGCTCCCGCCGCTGCTCCACTCCCTCCTCTCCTCTCCGCCTCGCCCCATCCTCCTCCCCTCCCGCCCTCCCTCCCTCCTAGCGCCCAGAACCCTACCCCTAGTCACTCGCGCTCGCGGGCCTAGGGTCGCGCGCCACCTGTCCCCTGCCCCTCCGCGCGCGCTCCCGGACATTGCCGCCGCGGCGGCGGGCCTCCGGGACGCGGTCACCGGCGCCTTCCAGGCGTCTCCGCCTACGTGGAGCTCGGCTGCCACCACCAACCTCGCCATCTTCGTCGCGGGCACGCCGCTGCTCCTCTCCGGCCTCTCCGCCTCCGGCATCGCGGCCGCCTACGTCCTCGGCACCCTCACGTGGCGCGCATTTGGGGCCCAGGGTTTCCTCCTCGTCGCCGCCTACTTCGTAGTGGTGAGTGGATCGGCGTTACGTTGCCGGTTGATGCTTCGCATCGACGACGGGCGAAGTGTTTCTGAATTGCATGTCTGAGGTGCTGTGGTAAATCTGAAATTTTTCAGAAATGCCGTTTTTGTCACGGTTTAGAATTTCTGTTGAGGGGTTGTCACCGCCCGATGATCTTCATTTCTTAATAGGACATGTTTCATCGGTCTTCTCTCTACTCCCTGCCCAATAAATATTATTTTAGCGATTGCGGTGTCTTCTAGCGAATTACCTAGCCTTGGTAATGGTACTGGGGAAATTGGTGCTTTCTGGTGTTTGTCAGCATTGATGCAAAATAGCAATTTCCCACAGCCAAGTTTGTCAAAATTGTAAGAGTAAACTAGCTTTATAGACTTGATTACAGACAAGATACTTTCATATTTCTGTCTTGCTCAAGTTTGTACATGAATTAACCGGAAATCAGAATTGCTCTAGTTTCGTACCAATGCAAATCTGTATATCAGTGGTGGAGACAGAACCTTTTCAAAGCCTTGGCAAACCGCAAGACGAAGTGCCTATAAGCTAGAATGCCATTTTCGGTGCAGGCTGCTGTGACATTCACCCAGGTAGATCGTCCTGATGCCAGCAATCTGGAAGGGAAGGTTTCACCTCCCTGCTATAGGGAGAGAAACGGGCTAGTAAGGGGGTCGCTCTTCTCCGCATGCTGCCTATATATTGAAATAGGGATAGTCTTGATTTGGTAATCTTGCCAGTTAGGAAATCCAGACTTTGCCAAAACTTCCAAACTTCCTTTATTTGTTCTGCTCTTTAGAACCACAAATGAATCATGAATGAGTGGTCATCGCATGTTTTAATCTTCAAATCAGGTGGAGGTTGTGCATAAGAGATACACTTTTCTCCAGTTTATGATTTGCCCTTGCTAAAGGAGGACTGAGATTAGTATTTCCTGTGAAATTAAATATGTATTGCCATAAAATAAATAATCACGATGTACGATTATTCTGTTCATTGATAAGCAATGTTTGTTGTGCAATTTCCACTGCCTGTTCGGAAAACAGGCAGTTCTAAATTTATGGATGTATGTGTTCTGTCGATTGTGGGACATAGTTCCATGACCCTCCTTAGGCTGGTTGTACTACCTGACAAAGGCAACTAATCTGCTGTATCCATCATGTCAATCCTAGTACATCATCAGTCTAGGTTATTTATTTTGCTTTTAATATGCAGGGCACAGCAGTGACCAAGTTAAAGATAAAACAAAAAGAAGCTTTGGGAGTGGCTGAGAAAAAAGGAGGAAGGAGAGGTCCTGGTAGTGTTATTGGTTCTAGTGCTGCTGGTTGTGTCTGTGCTCTCCTATCAGTATATAATGTGGGCGGGGGAGCATTCGCGGAACTCTGGACACTTGGCTTTGTTGCAAGTTTCTGTACTAAACTCAGTGATACAGTTTCCAGTGAAATAGGGAAGGCGTATGGAAGAACAACGTAAGGTCCTGGTCATTTACCACTCTATTTGCATGACCTTTAGATAGTTGATGGTTTATTTGGTGCTTACATGTGCAAACTTAATAAACTGTAATTGTTAAAGTTTCAATATCATACTTAGAGCTCAGTTCTGTTCTTTTTGTAGAGTAGGTACCTAGTGACAACATTTAAGGTTGTTCCAAGAGGTACGGAAGGTGCAGTCAGTGTTGAGGGCACTCTTGCTGGAATTGTAGCATCGACGTTTCTGGCAGGGATTGGTTATATTCTGGGGCAGGTAAACAATTTTTAAAATTATGTACTATGGACAATTGGACATCTTCTTCAATTATTTAACTGTAATCAGACTTGCATGTGTCATGTTGTTTATATGCCTGCTATCTCATGCTCTTATAATCTGATAGTGTTATTGGCTAGAACACATATTAGAGCAATGTTGGGAGCATACGACCTGCAATGTTAAGCTCCTTGCATATGGCATCTAGGAGGATAGTAATCACAATTTTGATATGGAAGTGGCAGTAATTATTGTTCTTTTTTTTACCTTGGGCTGTAAATCAGGAATATGATTATTGAAAAGAAAAAATCATTTGTTTTACAGGTAAATCTACCACAGGGTGTGCTATGTGTTCTTGCATCCCAGATTGCAAATTTTGGCGAGAGTTTGATTGGCGCAACACTGCAGGATAAGGAAGGTTTTGAATGGGTGAGCCTAAACTTTTAGATGCTGAATGCTGATGCTTTATATACAATGTTGTTAAGAGATAGGCTTTTTTTCTATAGAAGCCCTTTGGATCATAAGAATCGGTTCACCAAATTTCTATGGAGTCCATTCCTATACACTCCATTCCATAGGAATCACAGCATGAACTCAAACCTCATTTTATTTTTCCTTTGAGAAGTCCAATGCATGTGCACTCTATCTCTCTACTCTCTCTCAATCCTCTAAATTCTTGTGTTTATTACCTGTGCACCATCCAAAAACATCTCTTATAAAATTCATGTGTTTCGAAATCCTGTAGGAATTCATAGTAGTTGGTATCAATCTATCTTACATTTTTCCTATCCCTGCAATCCAAAGAAGGCCTTAGTTTCCCTAGTAAAGCTGTGTTTGCCTTTTGTGTTCTGTTATACTCTTGTTGTTGAAAGTTTAGACTCATAGTTGCATCACCAAGTTGGCCTGCCTGAACACGTGAGTAACTAGGCAAAGTCTCCTTTTGGCATTGTGATGGATTGTGGTAGATTAACCCCAGAATCATTGATGTCTGTACAGCACTCTTGATCCCTCTTCTTTTAGGTGTGTCAAGTAAAAATCTCAGGCTAATTTGATATGGAACATTCGGTTAACAGAATTAGTGTAGACTCGTGTATCCTGAACAGTAATGGCCAGGATAGTGTCATCCGCATTGGTGTATACTCCTATTCAAGCTGTTCTTTTGGTTTACTTTTCAGGGTCACATTATCTGCACATTATATTGTTATATGTTGACACCAGGAGGTCCCCACAAAACTAAAATGTGTATATATTTCTCTAATGCAGCTGAACAATGATGTTGTCAACGTGGTCAATATCTCGGCCGGCGCCGTTTTGGCCGCTCTAATGCAGCAGTTGCTAGTGAGCTGGCGCTCATGATCTTTCTTTCCTGACTTTTCTGCAGTGCATCGGCTCTCATAGTTTGTTAGTGGTACAGGCTGCTGGCATTTGCTTGTGGAACTCGCAATTGAGTGGATGCACGTCTGTCTGTATGGACGTGCTTCTCCTTTGTGACATATCTTCCTGTACTTCTAATTCTAGTACTAGCTTACTAGCATAGATTTGTCAAGTAAAACTCTCTCTGCCAGAGCTTCATATGTCCTAGAAATACTGTGCTGGCTGGCGTGCTACTAGCTACTCCAAACAATGCTCATTATCCACTAGTTAAAACTCGTGATTGGACAAGTTGCATGCTTTATGATCCATGATCACAAGATGATGAAGTTGCAGGTCCGTTGAGCTGCAAGCCTGCAAGCATCACATGGCGTCTTTGCTTTTGTAGGGAATCCTAACTTGATCAATCATCTCAACCTGCCATACGGCGGGCAAGCACGGATGCACGCCTTCCCACTATTGGATGAGTCAGACGTCTTTACGTCACGTTGGCCAGGACGTGTTGTCACGGCACACACCTGAGTGAGCGCATGGTACAGGCCATAGCCTCGTACGAGCTCACTTTTGCTCCGCCTTGGTCTGTGGGTTAGATAATGCATTTCTAGCAGACCAGCATGTGTTCTCTTGCAACTGTGCGACTTTCTGTCTCATCGAACTCTTACTTTTGCTTCTGCTTAGGTTTGTTGTCGTCTTTGGAAACATGAGTGTTGAGCTTCCTCAATGAGTAGGGCATTTTGGATACTGAGCTCCTTGAAATATTCAAAATCCAAACTATTCAGTTTGAAAAATATTATTAAAAAATACACATATATGCAAGGATGTAAGAGCTAACACTCGGACGGGTGGACCAGTAGCTGACCAGTCAAAAAAAAAATGATCCACTCGGGCGCCTTAAACTGACCTTAAACGTCTGGCAGTCCGGTGTCTCTCATATCCAGACCAAATGGTGGGTGGATATGGGGTGGCCCGGGCGCATCCGTCACGTCGGCCCGGCCCACCATCGATCCCATGTCGTCCCCACAAAAAAACCCAATCCGTCCCTGCTCCGAACTCTAGCTCACTCCACTTTCTTTCTCACTCTGCCCCCTCCTCTCCCCTCTCCAATTCCGACCCAATTCGACGACATGTTGAGCTCCGACAACCACTCGAGCTCCGACTCGACGTTGAGGAGGATTTGGCCCTCCGCATTGCGTTGGAGCGGCCGAAGGTGGACACCGGGGGCAACACCGGATCTGCACTGTTGTTGCTCCTGCGCCGACGCAGTGCGTTACAAAAGTTGGCCCCTTGACGGGGTCTCAGACCCGAGGTGCGTAACGTAAAGGAGCCCGACCTCGACCTTAACCAGGGCCCACTAGGCCCAAGGGGCATCAAGGAACCCTAAGAAGGAGAGGGAGTACCGGAACGGAGTCTGCACACATAGTTTACCCAGGTTCGAGCCTCCGAAGAGTAATACCCTATGTCCTGCTTTGTGATGGTGAGGGGATACCTCGTGCAGAGGATTACAATGGTGTTTGGGATGTCTATCGAGAGTTGAGTTCCAGATTGGATTCCTAATGAGGATCCTAGACATCCCTTTATATAGACATGAGAGGTCTAGGGTTTACACGGAGAAGATATCAGATTGATCTGACCAGCCTCCGAGGCCCATCTTCTCCTATATGATGCCATTTGCCCTAGAAAAAATTAGGAGAGGACTTTCGAGATGAAGCGTCGCCATCTCGAGTCGGAACCTGGGCAGGAGCACTTTTGCTTTCTGGCGGAGCGATTCCGTCGGAGATACCTCCCTCCGGGAAGGGGAATTTAAAGCCACTGACATCACCAACAACCCTCTCATCGTGGGAGGACCAATCTTCATCAACATCTTCACCAACGCCATCTAACCTCAAACCCTATTTCATCTCTTGTATTCAATCTTTGTCTCAAAAACTCAGATTGGTACCTGCGGGTTGCTAGTAGTGTTGATTACATCTTGTAGTTGATGCTAGTTGGTTTATTTGGTGGAAAATTATATGTTGAGATCCTTGATGCTATTCAATACTCCTCTGATCTTGAACATGAATATGATTTGTGAGTAGTTACGTTTGTTCTTGAAAAAATGAGAGAAGTCTTGTCATAAGTAATCATGTGAATTTCGTTTTCGTTTGATATTTTGATGATATATATGTTGTTGCTTCCTTTAGTGGTGTCATGTAAACATCGACTACATGGCACTTCATCATACTTAGGCCTAAGGGAAGACAATGTGGAGTAGTAATTAGATGATGGGTTACTCGAGTGATAGAAGTTTAAACCCTAGTTTATGCGCTATTTTGTAAATGGCTGAATTGGATCTATATGTTTCATGCTATGCTTAGATTTATCTTAATTCTTCTTTCGTAGTTGCAGATGCTTGCGAGAACGGGTAATCATAAGTGGGAGATTTGTTCAAGTAAGAACAACACCCAAGCACCGGTCCACCCACATATCAAATTATCAAAGTAGCGAACATGAAGCAAACAAACATGATGAAAGTGACTAGATGAAATTTCCTTGTGTCCTCAAGAACGCTTTGCTTATTATAAAAGTCCGTTCCGTCATGTCTGTTGCTATAAAAAGGATTGCGCTACTTTGCCACACCTTTGTTACAATTGTCACTTGTTGCTCGTTACAAATTACCTTGCTATCAAACTATCTATTACCGATAATTTCAGTGCTTGCAGACATTACCTTGCTGAAAATCGCTTGTCATTTCCTCCTGCTCCTTGTTGGGAAAGGGCTACGATTGATCCCCTATACTTGTGGGTCATCAACCCCTCCCGGCCCATGCGAAGCTCTATGAGGGTTGCGCCGTCCTCTTTGCCTGCCGACCGTTGCTCTGCGCGGGCAGCGTTGGGTGCTAGTGCCCGCTCCGCCGGCCCTCATGCGCATGCCGGAATCAGAGGTGTTCATCGTCTTCCACGAGAGGCAACATGCAAGGAAGAGGGATGTGACGGAACAATCCGTGCGCCGCCACCGCGGGTTGCTGGCAGAGCCCGGCGAGGGCGAGCGGCTCCTCGCTTGGGTCTACCACCGGTCGCTGATGACGGCGGAGGCGGACGCTGGCCGCCTACGACGGAAGAACGCGAAGGCGCTCCGGCTTGCCATTTAGTGGCCGGAGCCCAAGGCAGCGAAGGCAATGACAGACGCGGCTCGGGTGGCCAAGCTGAAGTGGCAGTAAGACAAGGCCATCCACGAGGTGAATGGGCTCATCATCCTCTCTAACTCCTCGTCCATGATGGCGGCGACCACAACTCCACTTCCTCCTCCGACGACCAAGATCCACCACCGGCCGCGGACGCCTATAGATGCACCGATGACTGGAAGGGCAAAGGCCCGGCGAGGAAGTGGTGATCCCGCTCCTCTTCTGTTTATATTATTGTTTTTAGTTGTTTAAGTTAAGAACTTGTCCGGCGATGAACTTTGGTGATCTTTTGGATGATGTAGTGGGCTTTATGTGCATTTTGTTGTCCGTTTGATGCCGATTTCTTTGTCCTTTGTTTGATCACTTAGAGTAGTTCATCACGTTGCATTAGTAGTGTGGATATAGGGTGCCAGATACTCCTTCCATTCCACAATGTAGTGCCTATAGATTTTTGTGAAAGTCAAACTTTGCTAACTTTAACCAAGTGTATAGAGAAAACTTTCTACATCTACAATATTAAATATGTACATTCTGAAAATATAACTCATGATGTAACCAATGATGTGCATTTGGTATTCTAGATGTACCTACTTCTCTCTATAAATATGGTCAAAGTTTGTAATGTTTTACTTTTGCAAAAGTCTATAGGCACTACATCATGAAACGGATGGAGTATGAGGTAAACGGATGCAGAGTGGATTATTTGAGGCATAACCAGTCATTGTGCGCGTTCGCGATCGTTTGAGGGCCCAGATTTGCCAAGTCTGCCTGTAGATGCTCTAATGTGTATGTGTGTAAAATTTCAGAATGAAATACCTTGAATTGCGAGGTGCACAAAAAGATAAAATCATGGACTTTGAGGATTAACAGTACATATGTTAAAAGGCCTTTTTTTTGGTGTAGCTCTATTTCAACCAGAAAATTGTACACACATGCCCGTTATGACTCTAGGTATATGTGTACTTATTTTCAGAATTTTTGAAACTAAAGAGTGAACTTTGAACTTTGCAAATTCAGCCTCCATTTGAATTTTTTGTTCTTTAATTCCTTTTGAAATGTTTGTCCTAATTGGTTTCTACATTTCGATTCTGTTACTATTTACATCTGAGTTCCTTTGTTTCGATGCTACTTCCTCTGTCTCATAATATAAGAGCTTTTCTGACACTACACTAGTGTCAGAAAAGCTCTTATATTATGGGACGGAGGGAGTACTATTTATGTTAATGTTGGGTTTGCTATTTGCGGAGATGGCTTATGAACTTGTGCTGACCAACAAAACATGTTTCCTTTGCTGCTACTTACTTAAATTAAGTACCCTTCTCTGCTAGCTGTGTCAGCAGCACCACACCTTTGAGATGGATGGACACCAACACGCAGGCATGCCATGCAGGTATTACTCGTCCAAAACTCGCTGTGTAATAAGTTATGGAGTGACGGGTCCCTCTCCTTTGTACTTGGCCTGATAAGCCAGTTTTACTCAGTGACTTAACTAGTGCCTGACCAGTCAACTTATCTTATGTAGCAGTGGTATTGCTAGCCCTGTCCTTCTGTAGCGAGGACCATATGCGCGGTTCCTTGTGGAAAACATGACGTGCCACACTGTGTGCACTGCGCTTTGGTGCCTCCCACTGTGCAGACAGCAACCTCCTGTGCGCTGCTCGTACCACTAATTCGTGTGAGGCCGAGGTTTTTCCCGGCGTCCCAAACGCAAGCCTTTCTTTGCACGATGCTCTCTCTGGCCATGGCCGGTCACGTCAGGATCGTCACGTCAATCACCGCGCACTGGCCCCATCTGCGTCGCCCACGCGGCCGAGCTCTGCTGCTC